AAGGCACCAATAGGTGCCTTGGCGCGGCAGTGCGGCTTTCACATTTTCCTGCAAAAGACGTGTATCCAAACCTCTGTTATTAACCTCAGTGGTGAGACAAGTTGTTTTACATGCTGGTTTGTGAGTGTGCCATGATGCCTTTCTACTGTTTTACTGCAGAAAGTAGAATTCACAATCCGGCCAACCTTTACGGCAAAACATTGTTGTACAAACATGCAGCTCCACAAACTTGAGAACACACATTTTGCCTACGTAGAAGGATCACCTGAGCACCAGAAAAATCCATCCCAGCAGAATGTATCATATCCTTGAGGATCCCTATCTAAGCTCGGTTGGGAGACTTTAGATGCACCATCTGACTATACATTGCCAGATCAGGTAAAGGTCCTCTTACGCCTGTAAGCATCTTAAAGCTCACAAACATCTAAATACAGAGATGAAATACATACTAAAGGAGCTGTTGTAACTGCCATATGATATGCATTTCTGCACATTTAGTCCAGAAAAGTACACAGCCCCAGCACAGCTAGATGGGCAACACCACTTTCCCTGTTACAGCCAAAGAACACAGTGGTGTCATCTCTCTAACTGCAGCCTGGGCAGCGAAGGAGCAGCAGCTACTGATGAGGTCATCCCCTACTCTCTCCTTCCTGTGTCATCAGTCAGATGTCAGCAACTAGAGGGAGTGGTTAGAGGTACAAAAGGAGTAGTGTGCTAACCATTCTGAAAAGCTACTACTGCTACTACCTAATGTTTTTGGGTCCTAATTTGCCCTTCCATTATTCCTTTGATGTTTTTCTTCTCCATTTCCCTGTTTCTAACCAAACCATTATATTTCAATAAAAATATATTATAAAGAAAATAGGCATTTACACATTTTCTGTGGCCCTCGTCAATAATCTACCTCTACCATGGAATACAAGATGGGATACAAGAAGCTAGTTCAGAAATGTTTCAGGTGAATTGTGGTACAACAAACCATAAATGCTGATTTCATCCGAATTTGCTTCACTTTTCTTTCTAATGTGGTCATTGGAATGTACTCAAGTTGGACATTTCTTCTATGATCTTACCTGTGCTTACATGGACTGACTTGAAGGTCATTGTACTGCATTCATTCCTCTGCTACAGGCAGGAGTAGGCATGGCCCCATAGCCCACAGAGACAGGGAAGGGGGGCGCGGGGGATAAGGTTTGGTTTTCCATTATTGTTATTTGCTCTGCTTTATGTAACTAAGTGTTATTGGGCGGAAATTTTTTTCAGGTATTTTTCTTATTTTGATGTTTTCTTGCTGTTTCTTTTAGGAGGAGAACTATGGGGTTAGGGATTTTCCCCATAGTTCTCCTAAGGGTAACTGGAGGACACAAACTAGCGTTCTCCCGTCACCCAAAGCTCAGTATACCGCGAGCTGCAGCTGAAGACGCCACAGCTGAAACGGATCCCGAAAATTATTTCTGGATCCGCCCAGCTGCGTGAGTGACAGCTGGCTCTGCCTATCTAGAGGCAGAGCCAGCTGTACCCGCCCCCTCCCACGTCCGTTCCGCCAGTCAGCGCTGGAGGATCGGACAGGGGAGGGGGGAATCCAGTCACTCCCCTGTCAAGGCTCTCAGCCGTGACAGGATTGAGAAGTGAGCGAGCGCCGGTATGTGTTCGCTCACTTCCCGATCTACTGAGCCGACCTGTGACAGTTTTATTGTCACTGGTCGGCTAGAACTATGAGGATGAGTGAAAATCACTCACCTCATAGTTCTCCTTTAATAAGAAGAAATTATTAAATGCAACATTTATGTCCTATACCAGATGTTTTAAAACTGCCTTTCCATGTGCAAAAATTCTGCTTGCAGATAAAATTATAGCTGACGTATCGGATTGTAGAGTGCTCACAGCTAGAGGTGACAGATTCATTACCTGGCATACTTTTTTTATTTTTTTTAAAATACTGGTATCTGTGAGAGTGTCCTACCTTTTTACTTTGATAGCATTGACCATACCAGGGGTGTCAAGGAGAATCTGGATAGAAAAAAAATAATATTCCACAATGTTAAATATGTAATGGTTTTATCATTTTATGTGCCCAGCATCAAATTAAACAATAGTGGAACCTTAAAGTGTCCTTGTAGAGAAAAAAAAAAGCAATGTGCCAGTTAAATATAATATATAAACTCCCACCACATTACAATTATTTATATAGCACCAACATATTCCGCAGCGCTGTACAATACAAGTTTAGACAATACAAGTAAGAAACACTGACAAGCATCATTAGATGAGGAGGACCCTGCTCAAATAAGCTTACAATCTACGAGGAAGGGGACGAAGACACAGTAGTGGGGAAGGGGAGACTTCAGATGTATACCAATAAAAACGGGAGGGATTTGGGAGTACTGTAAAGCAGGAGCAGACAGGAAGGCTGTATAGGGTGAGAAATCAAGGGGAGAGCTGATACACTTCTCTAAAGAGGTGCATTTTGAGGGATTTTTCAAAGTCTTGTAGGGATGGTGAGGGCCTGGTGTCGAGGGAGAGAACTTTTGGTTTCTGGATCAGGCTTTTTAAATGGATTTTGCATTGAATTTTTTGCTCTGCCCCATCAATCTACATAGGTCCTGGTCCAAAATTTCTGGTCTCAGTGTATAATCATGGTCACTGGTACTGCTTGCCTCTACAGATCCTCGGATAACCTGTGTCGGCATTTAGCAATGTGCATGTGCCTCAGCCAGCTTACTATTTGAACGAGGTCGTCTTAACATAATAGTGTAATCCACAGCGACAATGCAACAAAGAGGGTGGCTACATTTTTTGTTTCAAAGTCTTTTATTTGTTTTTAAGAAATAACAACATCTATACATAGACAAACAAACAAACAATTCGAACAGCCATTTCGGACTCCTCTACCTTCCCTCCATATCTATCACCCCCAATTCATCCTAAAAAAGGTGGGTGAGCAGAACTATATAAATAACACATAAATACATACATTATTACCTAACATTCATCTCTCCCCGACCTATACATATCTATCTTTGTGATCTTATTTTTTAAATTACCTACATTTGACCTACAGTAAGACCACGTAGGGCTAGCATAGTCACCCTCAATAAGGAAGTGCAACAGCCTAATTTCAAATCTTACTCTGTTTTGATACACAAGTAAACATGGCTAATGTTGCATCTTCATATGTGCACTGGAGAAGATAAAGAAAACTAGATCTAGATTAGTGATGCTTTAAGTGATTTTGCAGGACTTTAGTCAAAGTGTGGGCATCTACTGTATATGCAAAGGTTTCAACAGCAGGTCAAATGCAGGTTAATATTTCTTCTGTATACAGTGTCGTAGCTGCTGATGCTCTGGATCCATTGCATGTTTTGGATATTTGGTTCTATGGCCAGTTCAGTCTAGTTGTAAAGGCTGAGATTCAACCAATGTCTCTAGGAATACACACAAGAGATGCCGCTGTGCACTTACCAGTTGTGTGTTGCCGCCTGTGACGACACCCTGTGCTTGGCAGCGGGTTGTGTGCACTTTACTGGACACTGGAAACAGCTGTAAATAAAAGAATATGATCAGACAAGATATCTTCAATGTAAATATTCCTGTATGCATCTGCCCATTGGACATGACTTTAACCACTTCATTCTTAATGCAAGGGATTTATAATCTAACAGATGCATTTCTAGTGTATGTCTACAGTCAAACAACCTCTGCCTCCAGCACTAACCAGGATATGTATTTAAAAATCTCCAGGAATGCAAGAAAATGGGGTGAATGGATTAAAATGAGAGTATTGCACTCACCTATGTGCCCCTGGTTGTGAAATATTCAGCAGCAAAGTTCAGGCCCCAAAATGTTTTTACTGCACTGAACTGCTGGTTGTTGAGGAAATCTCCATACACATTCACAGGCAGACAACTAAAGCTGCCCATATATTGGTAGATTTTAGTATGAATGTTCATTTGAAAAATCTCTTTAGAACAATCGATAATGCCATTAGAGAATTTAAGAATGTAAATTCAAAATGTCATTTAATGTTAACATTCAATTTTGGAATGAATGGAGCTTCTTGAACGAAAATAATATTTACTATTTGAGTCACTACGGACGAAAGCGAACGTTGATTTGACCCCATTAACAATTAGAAAATCAAGGAAACATCCAGAACATTTTTTTTTTTTTATGAAACTCTTACAGGGCCAACTGATCGGAAGCCGATTAATCGATTATTGAAAAAGTTGACAACTTTTTCAATAATCGATTATAATCGATTATGTCGATTAGTTGTTGCAGCCCTATACTGGTGTATGGGCAGCTTAACAGCAGGTGTCTGAAGAGTGCTGTGCAGTGGGTGGAAGTGTGCTGAATACCCACATTTGCAGCTAAGGATCTTTGGATCAGGGGAACTCAAGTGTAGTGCACATTATTCTAGTCATCTCACCCCAATAAGTACTCCTTTAAAACTGGCGGAGAGGTGAAGCTAGTCCAAACTACTGGTGTGCACTGGTTATTTTAGTCTTAGGATTTTGCAGAACTGTAATGGTTGGATCAGTGTGGCATTCAGGGAAATATAATTTTCAGAAGGGGGTGAACCATGCCAGCTTCAATGTATCTTGCACAGGTTGGTGAGCTGGCATGGTTAGCCTATCCTTCACAAAAATCTAGTTCCCTGGCTATTAGATCATCCCAGCCTCTCCAATGCTTTCTGAGTCACAGACCCAAAAGAAGTACACAGATATCATGACTTTCATTTGTGGAATGTTTGTTCCAGGTCAATGTTTTAGAAGTACTAAAGCCAGACAACTATAATTTAAATAAGTTAGCAAGCAGTGCTGCTCTGAATTCCCATAACCACCAGTTGTGAAAAGTTGGGTGCATGTTTACTGATCAACAGCTCCCTGCAGTTGCTGATACCAGAGCACAGCAGTTGTAGGATGTGCTGTCTCTGTCAAAGGGTGATGTTTAGGTAGAGTCAGCCAATCAGTGGCTCTGTCCAAACAAATTTCACTCCTTGAACTCTGTGTGTACCAACTTCCACTTACAATGCTGCCTGTAACAAAGGCAATGTAATCCTAAATGCATTATACATATCATTACTGAGAATAATTCTTTATTCACTGGATACCTTTCTGCCAAGAAGCTGATTGGATAATGTTGATTTTCCAGCATTTGGGGCCCCTATGATAGCGATTTTAAGGATTTTGGGGTCCTCTGGTTGGTTTGGGGTATGTTTCAATAAACTGTCTTGATCAGCTGTGGAGACAGAAGGAAAATCATAATTTACAAATAACATTCACTGGATTTTATAGAAGCAATGATGGCTTCTTAAATATGTGTATATGTCATCCTTGCTATAAGTAACATGGTGTTATGCTTGCCTGACTCAAGCAATCTGATTTAAAGATATGGGGAGTTATAGCCTTTAGTGCAGGGGTGCCCACAAGGTCGATCGCGATCTACCAGTCGATCGCGTAGCGATCACTGGTAGATCGCCATGTCCTCTCCTCCGCCGCTTCTCTGGATCCCCGCTGCTCTCCCCAGCGGGGATCCGAGAAGAAGTGAAGGAACCGGCGGCGGGGGAGGGCGGAGGACGGAGCCGCTGTCACTAACTAATGCAGAGCAGTGAGGAGAGAGAGAGACGCTCGGCCAGGATCTGACAGCCGATGCCCCTCTCTCCCCTCAATGCTCATCCGTTCTGTCACAGCGGCTCCGCCCCCCCGCGGCTCGTCGTATCCCCCTCTGCCCGGGAGAGCAGGGGGATCCAGAGAAGTTGCAGCCCCCGTGTGCGTGGACGAGCGGCAGAGGATCGGTACATGTCACTAGTATGTACCAATCCTCTGTGCAGGACAAACACTGGAGCGATCGGCTGCTCACTCCAGTGTTTGTAAATATCCCCCTCCCGCCCCTGAATGCAGGTGTTTTTTCGTTGGTAGATCTCAATGAGCTCGTCATTTGAAAAGTAGATCTCCAGACGAAAAATAGTGGGCGCCCCTGCTTTAGTGCCTCCAGTACATTCCTACTGGCCAATGAGGCATCACATCACAATACATCAATGTATAATACTATCTTATCAGGAACAATTCTGGTAAAATGAAGAATTAAATGTGTCCACATGCAAATTAATATCCTGTAGATGCTGTATGATATTAGTTTGGATGATCCGCAAGCCTACTTGACGCTGTTTATGCTTTTGTTTTACAAGCCACTCTATGAGAATTTTACTATTTCAATTAATGATAAACTGCCTGCTTTCTTTGGTCACATTACTTTTCTCATTGATATTGCTTGCCTGTTTGATTTTCACATCTGTTTGTGTCTTTGCCTTGCAATGACAGTCTACACTGTAACAAGGGATCACATTTATATAGGGCTGCAACAACTAATCGACATAATCGATTATAATCGATTATTGAAAAAGTTGTCAACTTTTTCAATAATCGATTAATCGGCTTCCGATCTCACTGGCTATAGAGGACTACAAAACCCAGCAACAGTACATTATACAGCGCAATGCAGAATACCACCAGCTATAATGTACTATTGCTGGGATTTGTTGTGCTCCTCTATAGCTGGTGATATTCTGCATTGCGCTGTAAAATGTACTATTGCTGGGATTTGTAGTCCTCTATAGCCGGTGCCATTCTGCATTGATTGCTGTATAATTATAAACTTTCCATTTCACTATATCGCACACCACACTTTTTTTTTTTACTTCCACCGCTCCAAGCTTGCTCCTGTGATGGACTGCAATCTCAATACAAACTAGTAGTCCATTACTGGAGCCATTTTTTAAAATGTATTTTATTGTTTATCCGATTAACCGATTAATCGAACTTAATAATCGGCTAACTAATCGATTTTGAAAATAATCGTTAGCTGCAGCTCTACATTTATACAGTGATAGTCTACAGTGCCATCTACTTTATAGCTGCCTGCTATTGGTCAGGAGCCTCTGTATGGATTTTTTTTTGTTGCCTTTGTTCAGAAGATACAACATTGCATTAGTGTCATGTCAGAACAAAAGATCCTGTCTTCCTTTTTTCCTGTGGATTATAATTTTGTATACCGACGCAATTCCTTTTCGATGAAGGAACTTTATGGGCTTGCGGATTATCCATACCAATAACTTACAACATTAATATTAAATTCTAGGTGGACTGCTTTAATTATCACTTTACCATAAATGTTCATGATAAGATAGCATTAAATAAGTATGTATTTGATTGGCTGGCTATGCTTAACTGAAGGAATTTAGGAAGTGATCTATAAACCATTTGCCCATTGAGAATTACCCCGGAGCAGAGATATCTCTCTTATATTCTTCTTCTGATCTTTTTCTTTCTATAACTAAGTGAATGGATGTGAGTATTCTCTAATAATAATGCTACAGATCGCGGAAAATGCTATAGTATCAGACCTATATACGGACGTAACAAGGACTAACTGATTAATATAATAACGTAAAATCATTAGTGGAAAAAGTGGATTTCCTCTTTTTGAAAATGCAATGGCAATATGGAATGTAGCTTCTAGACTGCAATTTAACGCCTTATTCACATGTTCACATGTCTATAATGTTACTGCTGTGACTTTTCTTACTTTTATGCAATAATTTGTATTGTGTATCTTTAAAAAATTTATACAATAAAAAAATTTCAATCAAAAAACAAACAAACCATTTGCCCAGTTCTTTGCTGCAGGAATGAGATTTGCAGTGCTGTTTGGCCACTAGATGGAGTCGAGGAATTTCAGCTCCATCGAGTGGCCCTACACCTACACACTCTGCAAATAGTCTAAATCAGCAGTAGTAATATTAACATTATTTTGGTATATATTGCTTAATCTTTTTTTAATTTTATTTTTTAGAATTACCACCCTCTTACCACTATCACAACACATATCTGCAGCAGCAGTGGGTGAGCCTTAAAACCAAGCGGCAGCATATAGGTGTCCATGGGGCTTGGCTGTTGTGGGTTGCGAGCGTCACTGACAGTGCCCAATCACTGTAAATGATGGGGAGTCGGTGGGATGGGCTCCCAATCATGTGACAGCCAATGACAGGGGGTCACATGATCCAGACTCAGCCTCCCAACACGTGCATATGTTTTGAAGACAGCGGTGAGCAACTCCGGCCCTCCAGCGGTTTTGGAACTACAAGTCCCATGAGGCATTACAAGACTGACAGTTACAGGCATGACTCAGAGGCACGTTGGGACTTGTAGGTAAAGCACAGCTGGAGTTGCCCACCCCATCTTAGACTGTTCTGGCTAACCATTGTTATTGTATACCTTTATTAAAGGAGACGGCTGGTGCCTGTGGAGTGAGATATTCTTCTGCAGGTTGCTCTCTGCTCACCCCCAGCAAACTCCCGAAGGCAGAGTCCTTTCCATGCAGACATGCTGCAAAATTATGTGTCCTCAAAGGCTCCTGCTTCCTGACAAGTATGACACACGCTAGAAGTAGAAAGATGAAAGGTACAGCAACAAATTGTATATCATGCCAGGGACTGACAACAATCAGTTGTGGTAAAGAGACAAGTCAGACAGATTGAAGAGAAAAAAAAAAGTATGTTTTGGTATAGGTGCAGAACTTCAAAAGACGCACAAATAATTAATTAATTTTAATAAATAATTTTAAATGTAACAAGAATTTAGGCATCTTTGATGAGTGCTGTATTCACTTCCACAATTTAAAAAAAAAAATGCAGCCACTTTTTTTGTCACTTTTGTGGTTAACTCAATATTCAGAAATAAAAGGCGCCAAACCAAAAGGTGAAATAGTCTAAAAGTGCCTTTAACTGATTGCCATCCGCCCGTTGAGAATAAAATGGATTTGGCTGCTCCCTTGTAACTTGTATGTTATGTCAGTCAAAGTACCGCAGCGCTGAATACTGAAAAATGGCCTGGACAGGAAGGGGGTTTAACACCGTGGACTTCAAGTGGTTAATTGTTCACAATTCGACCGAACAAAAAACAGCCAATGTGTTCTGGGGGGCAACAACACTATACCTTCATCAGGATTTAGAATGGGATAAGCATTTGATGGGCTCTCTATATGATGCCTGGAACTGTAAATGGCAGATGTTTTTTGGTTAAAAAAAATTGAACACTTGCATAGTGTTAAAGCTTTCAGTGATTGTTTTTAAACTTTGCACAGCAAAGTGTCAATATAACATTTCTTCTATGTTTTATTTCTGTTTTTTTAACCCTACTGTGGAGATTTATCCTCATTTCCTGCCTCTGCACTCATACAAGAAATGGGAAAGGAGGGGGGGATAGGGGTGCTTGTCTTCTGGACAGGAAGGAACAGACAGCAAGAAAAACATTTCAGCAGATGTAACCTTTCCCAATTCTACTAAAAAAAATAATCCTAAATACATTTTCTGTCTCAGTTAAAGAGATTTCACATCATTTCCTGTTTTGACAAAGTCAATTAGAAGAAAAAAAAACCATTTCAGAGAGGTGGGGGTTTTTGTGAAAAGAGACATCATGCAAAGTCTCTTCTGCCCCCCAAAATGCTACCCCCCAGCTATTTTGTATTTTCTGCGTACAGTGAACTGGGCTGAGTGCTGTTGAGGATGTAACTTCTGCATGCATGTGTTGCATCATCAGTAGCCTCCCAATGGCCGAAGAGGATGTGTGGGAGCTCAGAAGTGTTGGTGGTGGAGATGGAAGTGGAGGGGGACAGAGCAGGGGCCAAAGATAGACTCACCAGTGCATCTAACCAAGTGTTAACATGTATAAACAGGGGAATAAACACTTTGTCCGGGAAGCATAACGATGTGTTTATACATCCCAGGTACATGGCCATATAATGTAAATTGCGGACATATTTGTGCACCCTGGGAACAAAGCTGCCGTGTGCAGCCATCCATAGTAATTAATAGCTATAGGTGACTGTAAATGGCTTGACACTGCTACATGTCAGACAGTCTGCATCCAGGGGCATACAGCTTTACTTAAAGGAGAACTATGAGGCGAGTGATGTTCACTCACCCTCATAGTTCGAGCCGACGTGTGACAACAAAACTGTCACACATCGGCTCTATAAATCAGGAAGTGAGCGAACGCATACCGTCATTTGCTCACTTTCCGATCATCTCCCTGCACAGAGCGGTGACTGTAAGTTACTGCTCCCCGCAGGGATTACCCCCTCCGATCCTGCAGCGCTGACTGGAGAAATGGACAGGGGAGAGGTCGGGTACAACTGGCTATGCCTCTAGATAGGCAGAGGCTGCTGTCACTCACGCACTTGTGTGGATCTTGACAGTATTGTAGAGATCCGTCCTGGCTGCGGCGCTCTCAGTATATAGTGCGCTGTAGCTCGCTATATACTGAGCTTTGGTTCATGGGAAGACGCTAGTATATGTGCTCCCGTGACCCTTAAGAGAACTATGGGATAAAAAGGTTACCCCGTAGTTCTCTTTTAAGTAGTGGCATAAACCCATGTACAGCCACCTACAGCTATTCATTCCTAGCGGTGGCTACATACGGCAACTGTGTATCTCACACATGGAAATATGCCAGTAATTTATGTTATATGGCCTCATGCATCTGTATGCAACAGGCCGAAGCAATGCAAACGCAGGAGGCTCATGTCAATGTATACCCCAGGCGGTTTAGTACTCATCCTGGACGATAGGCAGAGCCATGCTATATCAGGCTATTCCTGTTTCTACCAATATTTTATGGTTGGAACTGGCCTTTAATCATTATCTATAGATCTCAGTTGATCTTGGGCACATACAGGTGGCAGACATTGGAGGTCTCCGGACTATAAGCTCAATGTCATAGTCGACCTGCACTCAGATATTGTGATGTGAGGACAGCCGAGGATCAGAGTTCTGCTGTATCTGATGGAGTGACCGGTGCGCTTCCCTCATCGTGGTAGGCCGCAACCTGTCACACACAGCGGACACTGACCTGTCCTTCTTCCGACCAGGACCCGGGCACAGCCGGCTCCCACCGCCCTGACAGCGGCACACCACATCTTCTTCTCCGGCTTACATTAGTCTCATGGTGTGCCCACGGACGCGGCCATATTGGAGTGTCGCCCCGCTGACATCACTAGTACGCCGCGTCTTCAGACATCCGGCGCCATTTTTAGTACTGGCAAAACACTGTCTCGATGGAAGTTTCTCTGGCTTCTGTGATTCTTTTTTTCAGAACTACTGTAAAAAAAACTTTTTCTCTTTCTCTCTTTTCAGGCTGATCCTAATACTAATGTACTAGCAGTAATAAAGGCTTTCAAACCCTGGAAGAATTCCTTTAGATACCCAAATCAATTTCTGATGAAGGTTAAACAGGACCTTATGCCTGTATGTATGCCCGAGTTTCAAAAAGTGTGGTTTTATGTTTACTTTATATATTTGTAATGGGGGCAGCCATATTTGCCCTGTAGAAAAGCAGGGTGTGCTTCCATCTGACCCTCCTGTGTCACCGATAAGGTCTGTTTAAAAACAAGGGGCCCTCTGCTGCAGAGGTGGGCAACTCTAGCTGTTGTGGAACTACAAGTCCCATGAGGCATTGCAAGACTGACAATTAAAGGTATGACTTCCAGAGACATAGGGCATGTTGGAATTTGTAGTTAAATCACAGCTGGAGGGCCGGAGTTGCCCAACCTTGCCATCTCTAATGATGTCAAACACCCACAATACACTTGGTAGCTAAAGACCATATTATCTAGGACTAGCGTAACCTATTACCATAGCTGGGAATAGACCCGGCAATACTAGAATGTTAGATACGGCTGCCAGGTCATTTTGCTGCTGGCTGTATGCATAGATTTGGCAGCATGGCGGTGGGTTTAAACACCAGGCTGCCACATCTATTCATGCAGCTGAAGGGTGCTGTTTTGTGCTAGGAGAGCACTCAAGCAGCCCAGAAGAGGGAAGGGCGGGTATGTGACGTGATTTCCTCTCCTCCATTCACAGAATGCTTTGTACTCTGAAAAAATAAAAGGCTTTTGTGAATGGGCGAGGAGAGAGAAGGGGGTCGAGGATGTGACTAGAACCCTTTAGAGCCATACTCACTGCTCTCATCCTCGCAGCATCCGGAAATGTGTGGGAGCTGGCTTTCAGCAAGGTATGATGTTTATACTATGCAGCAGTCCTCCACACACAGCATACATATTGATAAGGCTAACTAACGTAGGTATAACAGTATATACAATACATTTTTTTCTCAGGGTTCAGCTTTAAAAAATTGTAAGAAAATTACATGTAGAAACATTTTTGAATCGATATCACAACCTAATTCCAAAATGTTTTGGCATCTCCGGGGAAAGATTTTTTATTTCTCAAGCTCCTCAGTGGCCATAATGCAGTATTACATTACATTCAACCTGAAAAGAAAATATATTAAAGGAGAACTATGGGGTCAGGGCTTTTCCCCATAGTTCTCCTTAGGGTAACGGGAGCACACAAACTAGCGTCCTCCCGTCACCCTCTGGATCCCGTCTGGATCCGCCCAGCTGCGTGAGTGACAGCTGGCTCTGCCTATCTAGAGGCAGAGCCAGCTGTACCCGCCCCCTCCCCCCGTCTGTTCCGCCAGTCAGCGCTGGCGGATCGGAGCGGGGAGGAGGGAATCCAGTCCCTCCCCTGTCACGGCAGAGAGCCGTGACAGGATCGAGAAGTGAGCGAACATCGGTATGTGTTCGCTCACTTCCCAATCTACTGAGCCGACCAGTGACAGTCTCATTGTCACAGGTCGGCTAGAACTATGAGGTGAGTGAAAAGCACTCACCTCATAGTTCTCCTTTAAAGCTGCATTCACACGGGGCGTTCGGGGATTCGTGTGTCAGGAACCTATGGATTCAGCAGGAATGCCAGATGTTCCCATTCAGATGTGGCCACTGTAGCCATTCAAGTAAATGATATGGTGACAGCAGCCACATCTGTCAGCGGCAGTCCGCTGGAAATCGTATATGGTACAAGTACATGCTGTTTGGAATAGATGATTATCCCTGGATGCATCTATCCTGCATCCGGCGACAGTCATCTTCCATGTGGACTGCCACTGACAGATGCAGCTACTGTAACCCTGTCATTAAGTTCAGTGAGTACACAGCCTCATCTCAATGGGGACATCTGGGATTCCTGCTGCAGGAATCTCAGAATGTGGCATTTGTGTCCCATGGGGGGTTAGAATGTTTGTTTTTTTGCCTCTATTTGCCAAAGTGAATGTTCACAGGGAAATAGCTCTGCAAATTGTTATAAATAGACTCCATAAAGTTCTTCATTAGCCTAAATTTACAAAATTAGCTTTTACCTTATGCATTGGATCAAAATGCTGATAAATCATCAGTGTGATATAAAGGTTTTATTAGGATTACAGCAGTTCTCCCACTGACTTTTGTACTACAAAGTTGAAGAAAACATCACATAAATTCCTCAGCCCTGTTCTTTCTTTCACCTTTTTAATAAAAAACATTTCTTGTTTTCTGCCCTTTGTAACTGTTTAACAAACTTTGTATTTTAAGCATTCTTTTTTTGCAACCTCCACACTCAACATGTTTGACTTTTTTTAAATATGTTTGCATCTATTGTCATCCTCTTTTTAAACATTTCTCACCTCTTGCCTCTAATAATACTAGCTCAGGAGAGAAATGGCAGGACCCTTTCCCTCCTGAATTACTATTATTACTGGTAATGGGCTGTGTCCTCGATATATACGGTATACCCTTGCATGGCTATATATGTTCTGAGAAAAGGTGCAGGCTTTCTTAAAATGGCTGCTGGTTGAAAATTGAAACCATGGCTAAAAAAAGCTTCCCTATAGCTACATAAGACTCTCTTGCATGGTAGATGCAAGAGAGACTTATGCATCTTCCACATTCTGAGACACATAGTTCTCTAAAAAGACTGCTGGAAGTAGCAATTGCAGACATTTTCTGTACACATTGTACCTCTACAGTTATCAGTGGGGTTGCTAGTACTGGTGCTGCATGCCTCATATCTCAAGTTCAGTGTCCTGTGTCCCAAGACCACAAACGGCCTGCCATCCTATTTTATAACTTTGCACTGAGTTCCTTGCCTTAACCACTTTCAAACCTAGCTCATTGGTGAGGTCCAAGTTTCCCTCCTCTATGTGTTTTGCCGGCAGGAACAGGTGCACAGTAAACCATCACATCCACCAGTCTCTAAAGAAGAGGTTTCCAGCATGTGGCCACATCATCATCATCAGTCTGCCTGCATGCTAGGCCAACCACCTGCCGCTACCTCTGTCATCATGAGGAGGGAGGCAGCCAGGTGAAAACTAATGTAAAGGGACAACTAAGCACTGCCCATCAATATAAAGGGGGCACTGACCATCAATGTAAGGGGGGCAATGACCAGTGACCACCAATGTCAGGGGGCACTGACCACTAAAGTAAGGGGGCTACTGAACACTGACCATCAATGTTAAGGGGGCGCTGAGCACTAACCATCAATGTAAGAGGGGCGCTGACTCCCAATATAAGGAGGACGTTGAGCACCAATGTAAGGATGCACTAACCATTAATGTAAGGTGGGCACTGACCACCAATGTTAGGAGGCACAGACCATGAATGTAAGGTGGCACTCACCACTAATCTAAGGAAGCGCACTAAACACTCATCACAAGTTTAAGGGTGACTCAGCCACAATGAAATACTTAACTGGCATGCACTGTATAGTTTATTCAGTAACTGTTAGAATGTTAAAAGACCAGTTTGAGTTAAAGTACATATATACCCTTGTAAAAAAAATACCACTCATCTGCCTTTCTAGCCTAGTTAATGCACAAAGCTGTGTCCCCACCCCGCACTGGTCTGTACTTACATCCTCTGATAGATGCGGCCTCCTGTCTGCGGCCCAGCGGGTAATGATCTAGTTTTGGAGTACCTGCACCTGTGCACAAATATCTCATAGACATGAGTAGACATGTGCGATTCGTTTCTTTCCGAATCAAAGTTCAGACGAATTTTCCGAAATTTGGACACTCGGACACATCCGAATTTACGAATCCCAATGCATCCAAATGTGTCCGAATCCAAATTTCCGTTTCCGAATTTTGGATCCAGTCCGAATTTAGTTCAAAAACAAAACTGAATCAGACATGTGACTTTTCTGGCCAATCAGATGTGTTTTTCGGTTTAATGCATCCGAATGGGTCTGAACACGAGTTTTCATTACGGCAACATGGGAGCCATGTACAGTGTATACATTTAATACTAAAGCTGAGGCTTCTAGACCCGAATGGTATTTCGGATCCAAATTTCCGAATTGCATTCGGGAGCTCCTGAATGCCATTCAGGTCTGGGAGCCTCAGCTTTAGTGATATATGGATATGGCTCCGAGACCTGAATGGCATTGGGGAGCTCCCTAATGCAATTCGGATCCCGAATGCCATTCGAGTCCAGGAGATTCAGCTTTAGTATTAACATCTGTATATGGTTTTCTGTGGTATTCGCATCGAATATTCGTAAACTCATCCGAAACTAACGAAGTATCTGAACCAAACCAAATTTTTCGGCAGCTTACATGTCTAGACCAGAGTAGCAGTATCTATTTAGAGAAATCAGTATTTATAAGTACAGTGATGAGTATATATTTCAAAATAGGCAAAACAGTTGGTATGCAAGTAAAGTTTGTTTGCTGACCATGAGCTGTATTCACAGCCTTAAGGTGCCCATACAATGCTCGATTCTCGTACGAGAATCGGGCGAAATCCCGCGATCAGGGCCGGCCTTAGGGGTGTGCGAGCAGTGCGGCTGCACAGGGCGCCATGGCAACAAGGGCGCCGTGCGGCCGACACAGCTCGTCCTGGCCGCGGCTTCTCTCCCCCTCACCGCTGGGCGCTGGCCATCCGATATGACAGCGCTCCCTCGTCCGCCCCC